CTTTCGGATAAGGCATGTTTGCGCCAATGGTCACCATTTCACGTGTAGTAACTTCAGCTTTTGACTTTCCCATTGTTAATGAATCACCCTGTACATATTGATTGCGGTTATTTTAACAGATATGCATAAGGTCTATGAAAAAATTAGCAGTTAAGTGTTTCTATCAGAAATAAAAATATGCAATATTTATAATATATAAACCGTAGCTACGATTTCCATTTAAAAAATACATTTGCTTCTTAACTTCGTAACCATTACTAAGTCCCAGATTGTATGTAGTTCGTATTTAATTTTATTTCCAAATTTAAAAAAAGTTAAGATTTATAACTAATAACCCTATATCTCTGACAAAAGAAAATATAGTCTTTTAAAACATGTTGAGTTTTAAATTTGCAGAACAATTCGACCATTTATAAACTATGAGCGTAAAGGAACGGAGCAAACATCATTGTTGCATGATGAAATTAGCATTTGTCGTACATTAGTCATAAGGTCTGTGAAACGGATAAAGGGCGTAAGTTATTCTGAGTGAATTAGCTTGTTTCGTGCTCCTTTAACATTAATATCTAAGGTTACTCTTATCCCGTAAGTAATGTAAGAATGACATAGTTCACGCACATTTTCTATTATACTCCAAAAGAAAAACGTATTTACTATACCACAGATACGTAATGTGTGAATGTTGCTTTTTAGCATAATTCAAAAATAGCCATGATAAATAAGGTTTTAACAATTCCTTTGTTTTACTTTAGGATGGCTATTTGAAGTGGCCTCATTGCAAATGAAATTAATAAATGTATATATATAATAATAGAACAGAATTATATACAAAACAGAACTTTTGTCAACTAGATTAATGTGAAATATTTTTTTAAATACCCAATGTAAAAAACTTTAGTTTCTCAAATTTTATAAAAAAAAAACTGACTATAAAAACCAGTAAGCCTTATGTTTATGTCCCAACCACACCTATGGGTTTAGTATCTCATGCTTTTTCTGCAACTAATATACATATTTTTTAAATATCTCAAAAAATAATCATTACTGTCCTTTTTTACTTTACCACAGACATATTGTTTATTGCAAAGTTTGATTTTTTTTCCACTCAATCCATCAGTTCCCAGTTCTTCAGTGATGGTTAAAGAAAACGATATTTTACAATGAGAAGATTTTATATTTAAAAATTCATTTTTATTTGTTAATATTCCTAAGTATAAATAAATATGAATAGTCTTTGGATTAGGGCTTTGTACACATTTTTTCGTTTAACCTATACATTATAACAATCCTTAACATTAAACTGTACAAATATAAATGCTGTAATTGTATATTAGGTACACAAAAGGTACAAGATTATATTAGGCTTTTTTATTCAGTTCTTTCTCTTGTCCACTTCTAATTCCGAATGGTTTGCTTTCATGCGTAATTAGGTGATACGTGCCTCGGCCTTTCCTGTTCCTGAAACAAAACAACACTCAGTGAAATACAAATACTGAAAAATAAATATAATCTACAGGAACGCAGATTGTTTCATATAATAAATGATGTACTTAAATACGCACAGTACACTGAATTTGTCAATTTTCGTTTAGTAACTTGTTGGGTCAATTGTTGATTTATTTATTTGTATTATAATTTACTAGGAATTTTTAGTTGACAATATGTTTGTAATTACTTATGAAAGCTCTGTATGATTTATAAAAAGTTCAACTGAAAGTTGTACTTAAATTTAGCAGATGTAATTTCTTTGTTAGAAACTCCACCCCATTTTAACGAAACAAACGTTCAATACCGTATTAGTTTCGTTGTTATTCGGAAAGTGTTCTCCAAACAACGCTGAAAGTAAACTTCCTCAGCCTTCGAACAAAGTTATTAATAATTCCTCTGTCATGTTCTCGGTATTTTCTGAATCATTTTTGTGAAACTTTATTGGCCAATAAAAGTATAGCTACTTAGGTTTGAACAATTCATATTTTGCAGATTTTTCCGTATGGATAGTTTAAGTGCCTAGTCTGTAGGGGTATAAAATACTGTAATGCTTTTTTTTTGACGCATTAAATAGGATGTGTAATTATCTTCTTTGCAGCTTTTTAAATCTCAGATTAATGATGTTTTCTATTTTCTTTTGAATGAGATAAGATTAATCTAGTCCTTGAAGTCGAATAATTTGTAAATCATCATTTTAATGGCTTAATTTCTTCAAAATTTGTTGTCAAGATTGACAAGATACCTAGTTAGACACTGAAATGGCGAAAACATGCTGAAATTATATTTTATTATCATCCAAAATAAACATACAGGTCTGGCCATATTTTTATTTCCGATACAAAGTTAGTAAATTATATAAATATTTCACCCGATATAAGGGAATAAAAAAACGCCATAGAAGTGCGCAAAGCCTGCGGTTCTAAGCTCTCCTTGACTATTGGTTTATTGTCTCTGTCTTGCATTAGGAATTTGGGAACAACGTACGTCTAAGATACGTACATACGGAAGATAGAATATTGGACAATAATTACGTTTTCGATTTATTGCGATGGGATAAAAAGTATAAGCCACGGCCTGGAATTGCAAAAGTGTTGCCATACGTACAGTAATTGCCCTATTTGTACGATACTTTTTTAAAAGAATGATAAGAGGTTTTGAGACCACGCTAAAGCATTCCAACTTTATTACAAATTATTTATAACCTTTGGTAAAAACTGAATCGGTATTCTAAAATAAAATGAGTGGTAATTCTTAAGCAAAGTAGTGAATTATATTCAAATGCTTATTAAATACAAGCTTATTATTAACTAATAAGGTGTTCAAACCACCTGCTTGAGCTTCACAAAACCCTAATCTGTTCTGCACGACAATACCATTTAATAATATTAATCTTTTGTTCGACACTGTACACCATTTTTATTTTGTAATATTCCATCTACCTCTTACCAAAGGTTTGAGTGGAATAGTAATAAAAATAAAACTAAACAAACAGCGAAGCGCTTTAGGTATTCGGTTGGTTCACAAAAAATGCAACGGGGCACGTGCGCTCCCACAGCCAACCAATTACGAGAGTCCGAGTCGCAGCCTCGATGATATATGTCATGTCCGACCCCTTCCACCCGAAGTTGATAGGGGAGATGCGTGTAATTCACTTAGTCTATGCGAAAATTACCTGGCCATATCTGTATAGTATAAAGCAAAATGAGTCAAATTTAAGATTGTATTAATTAGTGTAGCAATTCAATATCAATGTGTGTATTTATAAATGTCAAATAATATCTATGTAAATTCATTGTTGCATACAGATCCTATTGATATTATTTTTGAAAGAAAAAGTAAAATTTATGTTTATGTTCTAAATTTGGTGGTAACTGGATTTTACAAATCGATTTGTCAGATCAAAAAAATATCACTGGATTCATGCAGTTATTTAACCAGCGTTTAGTATGCTTGACCTGAGTGCATACTCGACAAACAAAAGGAATTCGCATTGAAACTGCTGTATTTTTTTTATTGTGAAAACGTACCAGGTCGATACGACCCTTCTGAACCCATTATGAGAGTCTACGGCTCTCTTATGATGCTGAGCGAAGATGGAAGTAGGTCAACACCACGAAAGCTATCCAACAGAGCAAAATCCACGTCCTGGCATCTAACGTGAGGCTATGACAGTAGAAAGAAGACCAACCTAAGTAAATCCGCGACATGGCGCCCTACGTGGGGATATGTTGCCAAGCGAATAAGAGACCTACGCGAGTTCACGACGGTATGTGTAGACAACTTCTTCATTAAACTGTCGTCGACGTGAAGCTGTTGTTAATTTTCCTGTGTATTTTATCGGGCATTACCGAGGAAATCAACTTTGATTTTGAAGACGTGAATAGAGGTGGCACAATTTGTCCGCTGGCCATTGGCACAGACAGTCAGCCGTCAACTTCACAAGAAACATAAGGACATAAGGACATAAGGACTCCAACATCAAAATCAAAAATTCCAAAATTATTGATTTGATAAAGAAAGATATATCATTCATTATAGTAATTTAACAGCTTTAGCATTAAAAGTTGAAAGAATTCACAGAATGAATTCAAGTTGTTGGATAAAAATATGCAGGGTATTTCGCCCGTTCGCCCCTTCTGAAATGTAGGGTATTTAAAAAATGAAAAATTCAATACCTCCTAATAGTGAATGGACTATGTCGGGTCGATTGGAGGTATTTTCAACTTCCGGCTACCACCGGAAGTTGCCCATTCAGACCGGAAGTCAGTTTTTTTAAATGGAATGGCATACGTTTCCTTATTGACTTCGATTCTATACCGAAAACTAATAAACTTTTGTAAAATAATTTTTTTTCTAAATCATCGTTCCACCCCAAAGTGCCTTTCGAAATGTAAGTCTTCCCCTGAGAAGTGACACAAAGAAATGAAACGCAGTAGTGTACTACCAGGTAACCTAAATATGTACATTAACGAGGTCGTCTCCACTGTAAACATTTATTAAATCAATGGTTTTCGACTTTATATTATACTTATTTTATACTTTGTGGTTTAACTGCTCAACTTCGACTTCGGGAGCTGCACTTTCAGATAAATAATAAAAAGTATGCCAGTCCACTTCCGGTGGTAATCGAAAGTTGAAAATACCTCCAATCGATTCGGCATAGTCCATTCACTATTAGGAAGTATTGAATTTTTCATTTTAATAGATACTCTAAATTTCAGAAGGGGTGGACGGGTGGTCTGAAACACCCTGTACATTGAATTAAATAGAGTGTAAAAAATTAAGCAAATTTTTTTTTATAAATTGATGAATAATGCTGTTTCTGGAGAAACCATGGAAAATGTTAGAAAACATAAAGACGTAAAGTTAGTCACTAGATGGCAGGTATGATGCAGACCATTATATTACCAATGATTGGTAATAACTGAAATGAAACTATTAAACATTACATTTAATAAGCCTACATATAGTACCTATATTAGATATTTCGAAAACAATTGTGCATGATAATTATTACAACTACATTAAATGATAAATCAAAATTACTGTACACTATACTTTAATATATCATTTTTTATGGATATTAAAGATGATATTAATAAATGAGTAGGTAGTAATTACTTTTTGAATTTTCTTAGAAATATCGAGGTCAGAGATATATTTTACTAACTGCATCGTGTTTAGCTCCTCAAAATACTACGAAAATTATATATTTAGACAAAATTTAGGAAAAAATTAATTTTGACCCGTTTTCGCCCAAAAAGTTCACTTTTCTCCGAAATTTGTTGTGAAGTCATGAATGAACATGAACATGAATTAAACTACAGGATCGTGTTCAGCGCATCGAATTCCTTCGGAAATGATATGTGGGTTTCTTGGGTGTGGATTTTTTTATTTGCCGGTGTTGGCAGCCGGTGTACTCAGATCAGTACCACAGCTTTATCAATAGTAATGACCAACAAAGCCGTATCCAGTGCGTGTTGAGTGTCACTTTCCAGTGCAGGTGGTGATCAGGCGATTTAAATAAAACACAATGCTTTGTCGTACTAAAAAACATAAACAGTAATGTACTTACATTCAGTATATCCGTACTAGTATAAAAAAAACTTTGTTTAAAATAAATATTAATAAACAAAAACAATAAATATTAAACAGTAAAGACAAAATATTTAAGTAACTAATTTTGTAATGTTCTGAAAAATTGAATTTCTCAAACTTCAAAGTTTTACTGCTTCTGGAATTGTTGACTTCGGCGAACCTCAGCACACAAATAACAAAGACTGTAAACCTCCGCGATCTGCCTTATAAATCACACTGACAAACAAAGCAATCGCAGCGAAGCGACACCAACTTTGTTATTTTAAAAAGAGCATCCAGGACTTCCTCCAAACACTCTTTCATCGCATATATTCAGCGATATCGGGTATAAATCGCGCTCCTCCGAAATTAAATTATCCAGTTTCCATTGCAATAACTCTCCGAAACTAGTTGCAATAACTTACTTGGCATTAGCATAACCCATATATGCGTCCGTGGAAAAGTCGCATTGTTTGTTGGGACCTCTCCAAAGGCTGCATTTAGTGGCTGGGAAAGCCTTTTCTCTCCTTACCGATTCCGCGTACAGTCTCCACGCCCTCACGTGACTGCATGCCACTGAAATAATGAAATGTGTGCACTATCGACCAAAACTAATAGCTAGGTATCTTTGAAAACCCAGTTTGTTTGTAACTACTCTAACACGTAAACTGTAAAATGATATTGATTGGAATAGGCGGAAAGAAGTGTTTGTTAATCAAAACAAGACAAAATATAAATAAATTGTACAGCATACATTTGTTCTGTTGATTTTTTGTTGGGTCTCATAAAAATATGTCGTCACATTCATTTACACAGTGTTTCCAATGACTGTGCCATGAAGAGGAAAAGCTTTTTTATTTGGAAATTTCAGGGTCGCTGATATGTATGAAAACGATAAATTATCTCCTGAAGTAAGATAGCTATCCAAAAATCATAAGACACAAACGTTTTAGGATTTTTTTAAATATTTTACAAAAAAGAGACTTATGTATATATGATCTTTATTGGAACACACTATATATTGTCCCATATTTCAATTCTCCTCGAAATTCTAAATAAATATGTACGTTCATATAAAATGCATTTGTATGTTACAAGAAATGAGTGAAGACGATTATGAATCAAGTTCTGCGAAGCTATTATGGATAAATTAAACGAAAATGTCAACTTTGTCACCCATATATTGTTTTCTGACGAATCTACGTTTTGTTTAAACAGGAACGTAAACCAACACACTGTAGGATTTGGTCAGACCAAAATCCACATTGGATGGAGGAAGAGGAAGTTGACACCCAACGACTAAGAAAGTAAATGTTTGGTGAGGCATTATTGGTGGACACGTCATAGGAGTCTATTTTATAAACGGAACTTTGACCTCTGAACGATATTTATTACTTTTGCAAGAACATATTATTTCAGAGCTTAGCAGATTTTTCCCGAACAATAACAATCCCAATTTACTATCAACAAATATGGTTTCAACATCTTCGACATTTTGAACGTGTGGTACGGGCATATCTAGAAACTTTTCTTGATAAATGAATTGGACGCAGGAGGGCAATTGACTGTCCAGCTAGGTCTTTCGATATGACCTCACTTGACTTTTTTCTGAGTCACATAAAAAATGTAGTCTACAAAAATAGGCCGCAAAATATCGAAGAGTTGCAGGAAACGATAAGGCATCCAATTTCTACTATTCCTCCCAACACCCTTTTAGATTCATTACAAAATTTTGTTCTGCGAATTCATTACTGTCGGGAGGTAAATGATGAACTTCTTGAGCACTTGATAAAATACAATTCCAAAGAAAATATTTGTCGTTTATTAAAACTGTTTTACTCTCTTTTTTCATTCTGGCAAAACTATTGCTTTCATAAAATTAAAATATTCAGGACATTTATTAAAAAATACATTTTTTCGTTTCATGCATTTTTATCAACTCTGAACTATTATGCTTCCTTATTTCCTGTAAAAACTATAATAAAATTAAAACATATCCATATCCTACCTTGTTATTTTCAAAATAAATATCCATACTTAATTTGGGGCCATTTTTTTTGATAAATTTGAGAGTAGTAAAAAGTTGCTTTGAAAGTTCAATACCTTGAAAACGGCTAAGTTTTAGGTACATGATGTTTGAATTTTGTTCAGAATTTCGAGAAGAATTGAAATATGGTGTAATATACAGGGTATTTCATTAAAAAAAGCAAATTTGTTTCATCATGACTTTTTAACTGATCCTGTTTACTTATTTTTTTCTTTATTGTAATAGATATAAAAAATTCTGAACAATAACTATCTTACTTTAGACCTTTTCCATACATATTAGCGACCCTGTATAATTGATATATAGCTTACTATGATTACAGACAGAAAACAAGAATACAATATAAAACGATGTTGTCCAAGTATGAAAATTACATATTATTATTTTTTTTTCGAAATATACAAGTTTCTAATATTTGACTTCAATAAGACATTTGGGGTTTTATATTTCAAGTGAATAAATAAAAAAAAATTGATTTTCACTTTAAATGTTATGAGATATTTATTTTTGTACGAATAGAATCAATGTGGACTTTCGATCATTTAATTTACTTACAGACTTGGTTCACTAGTCTTTGCCTAACTAAGTAGCTAGGCTGACACCCGGGCTGCAGAGCTCTTCCTCCGTTTGGGAAAAAATCTGCATGGCCGATGGAGAGAGGAAAACCAAAAATACCTGAATCGGTGTGGATGACATCCACATAGTCTGCATCCGATTTTGTCAGTCTCTTGGAAGTATCTAAAACAATAGGTTTTATAAAGAAGTCATTGTTCGAGGAGGAATCGTTGTTTTATTCAAACCTTAGCTGATGCATGTTAACCGCAATTTATATATTCTTTATTTATTGTGATGTAGGGTATTTTTGACAGTGGTATTTTAGTTTTAAGGGTTTACGGGAACAATTATTATAAATCTATTTTTTTGAGTTATCCTTAATAAAAATTACTTAAATATCGAAGTCTTTTGGTGTCAACAAGAGAACAGTGCGTTTTTGGACTAAAATTGCTCCAGGACCAAGACGGCTCATTTCCGATAAGGGGTTTAGATATATGCAAAAACTTTCTACCGCAATGTCGTCTGTAACCCCCTCCAGTTTGACAACACCTTTTTGAAACACCCTGTATATTAAAACAATAGAATTTTCATTTTAATTATAAATGATATTAACCTTATTGGCTTTATAATTTTGACTAAACAGGATGCTCCGAAGTTTGCCTATAATATAGATATTATCTTACTTGCGAATTCTGCGACTGAAAATAACTCTTTTATAAACACAAAACACTGAAAATAGTGCTTTTCAAAACCGAAATGCAGGTAAAAGATTAAATTTGGAACTGAACATTACTGTTATGTTTTTTGTTTACTAGTCTATAATGCTACAAACTTATTTTATACAATGTCGTTATGTCGTATTCCTAGTTCCGAACGAATTTCAAATTTTCACTCAACTTTCCAATCGAAACCACAAAGTCGTCTCCAAGTATACCCGACGCAGAGTCATTCCCAAAGTAGAGACATATGTTTAAAGAAACTCAGACTACCCTCCACAAGAAGTAGAAGGCGCAGTGTGGATTTAACATTTTTAACAAAGTTGTCAAAAATGTTCACTGCAGCTCGTAAGAAACAGCAGCAGACGACACGGCCGGACGCTGTCGACTGAGCAGCCGCCAACGACGTGCTGTTAAAATAGGAAATTTACCTTAGTTTCTAATTTCGAACATTGAAAATTTCTAACTGTCGGTAAAATCCAAAGAGGCCAATTGTCCAAACCCAAGGCGAACTTCGCTACAGGATCTTTGGGATCCATCTAGGAATGGGCCCGAATGTCGACCCTTATGCCCTGCCGTTATTAAACGGTAACGGAACCTGGCCCGTATATGTAGTACGTTTTAAATTGTTACTATTTTGATTTATATAGAGCCTCTGCAAAACAATATTTATTTACCCGTTTGTAATAAATATTCAGGGTGTCCCAGAATAACGTGTACAACGGAGGAGCACATATTCGTGGACTCAAAATAGGCAGATTTAGTCTAATTCACCTATATCCAAAATCGCTTCGTTTGGCCGCTAGATGGCTTCAAAGTTCGTGAAAATTTTTTGAGTTCGAGTTATTTACAAAATTCAAAAAATTTTCACGAACTTTGAGGCCCTCTAGCGGCCAAACGAAGTGATTTCGGATCTAGGTGAATTAGCCTAAATCTGCCTATTTTGAGTCCACAAATCTGTGGTCTTCCGTTGTACACGTTATTCTGGGACACCCTGTATATTTTAACAATAAATCTATTTCTGATCATTCGAAACTGTTAAAAAAATTTCACAACATTTTTTCGAGCATACTGCTTCCGGCCTAGACCTTCTAGCGCCCCATCCCCCGGCATAGTGCAGTCACAGAAGATAAAACAACCAGAATTATAAGTTGGCGTGGTGGGGGTATTCGCGCAGATCGGTGCACGCACCCCCCACTTTTGGTATGGGAACAAAGTGGCGTAGTTACAAAAGCATTTTAGCTATTTTATGAACCTGTTTGTCGTTTGTTATCCCGCGCGTTGAGCATTGGCGTCGTTTTACGTGATTTATTGTGTTGTGTAAATAAATGATTGTTCGAGTGTNTTAGTACATCTCTGTTTAGCGCAATAAAATTTCACTGAATACAATCCTGACTTTGTATACCAAAAGTGGGGGATTTACGTCATTCAAGGTCCCTGAAAACAGACATCAGTGATCAAAGGTGTCGACAACGAGATATAATTCTGGTTGTTTTATCTTCTGTGGTGCAGTTCTGCGGTGAAGACCACAAGGAATAAAATGAACTTCTAGAAGCTGCCCAAAGGTGCTCATAGATGACCTAACCAAGTTCCAAGAAGCTTCTATATTTCAGATACCCACAGGAGACATCGAAACCAGTGCTAGGCAAGGCAAACCTTAAAAAGGCAGTGACCAGAGTAACCGTACTCGAAGTGTTGCCAAAACGTTTAGTGCAACCAAGCTCAAATAAAAGCCTACAGGAAATCATGCCATTACGAGGGTGGGTCAGAGTGAACGAAGGTACCAAAACAAATACGACCAAACAACAAAAAATAAAATTAGATTGTTATAAACTATTTCAAAGTAACTATCCTCCACTGATGGAGAGTACAGGTGGACAAAATCATGTTTTACGACATGGCTCTATAACTGTGCGAAATATATGCCTAACAAGAGTCAGAATAAGGTAAATCCGCGACAAGGCACCCAACGAGAGGGTTCAAATGGCCGGACAACGAAACGCCAACCCTATTGAAAGACGACAGTTTCTCTAAATTCAATTTCGCACAAAATATCCAAATAATCGACACTCCTGTTTTTTTTTTTTAGGTAAGTTAATCGGAGTAATTTGGAACAAACATCGTTATGGCAAGTAACATATTTATTTTAAATCGATTTGATTCTCAAAATGGTGCAACTTATCGAAATGATATAAGATCACTGTTTTATTATTATTATATTATTTAATTTCTAATTTTTGAAGCAAACTATGGGGAAACTCCAAGTAAAAAAAAGGTAGAGAGATGATTTAATAACAATCTTTGACCAAAATTTGGAAATTATAATGAAAATTTTTCAAATATTATTGTTTCTTCTTGATAAGATTCAGGGAGGAAAAACAACTTTCAGGAGTCTTCTTAGAAGCCATTTGTCCGTCTGTGTTAACACAAACTTTTTCTCTTATTTTTTTATTATCGAAAATAAGCAGTTAACCGCAGTTAAGTGTAATGTATTGCCGAATATACCCACGGTGTAGCGAGCGGCGTAATTATTAAAAATTTACATTATAATAGCCCCGCATTATCCCATTTTCGCTGCGAAATTTCAGACATCGTAACTTTCCGCGGTATTGTGACCGTGGCTTTTCTCATAAAGTCCACTATAATACCCCGATGATTCACGCTGAAGTCCCTTCTAAAGCACCCTATTCTAGTCGTAGGTGTGTAAAAAGTCAATAATGTTAATCTCCCCGATGCTTTGTCAAGATTACTGGGCTTCGTTCTTCATATCAAGGTTACGATATAGCCACGGCACATTATTGGAGAAGTATACTGGGAGTAGCCAATCACTGTAATATACCTTAGAATTTTTTAATGTGAGTATTACATTGTGAAAAATGTAACAGCAAGTAAAATAATCTTCAAATTTTTCAGAATGAATACGATTTTTATTAATGAAAAAAAGGAACAAATTATAGGAGACCACTTTTCAAGAAAAATGAAGTGTTTCTAGAAACATTGAAAGCACGAAGTACCAATATTTCAGGACAAAAAATGATGGGCATTCTGTTTAGTCAGGTAAAATACTGTGTCCAACAATTGCAGTTTTGTAAGTGTTTTTAATAGTAAAATAAAACAATTATAATTTAAATAAAGAAAACAACATTAATTTAACAAATAACTTTTTATTAGTATTTACATTAAGACTGGCGTTTTATTGACAAGAAATCACATTTTTAGTAAGACAAGGATAGAACAAATAGATCCGTCTAGGAAGTGACGAAGTATAACTCTAAACTAGAGCAACTTCTTTTAATTTTTCGCATTGAAAAATCACGGAGAACATGTAAACATCAGAAATTGTACCTTTCCTGTTTTGTCCAGCTTTGTAAAAAAACTCAATAAATGTGATTAATGCAGTGTTAATAATTTCCTAAAAGCATTTTGCTGTGTAATTATGTTTATAGTACCGTATGCGATTTCCTGTACAGGGTGTCCCGAATTAATGCAACAAAATTTGACCACAGATTCTTAAGACAAATTTAGGGGACCTGTATATTTTATTTTTGCCAAGTGGCCCCCTCTCTTGGAGTTACAGCCCCCTGAAATCCGCCCCTAAGAATAATCTTTTTTTATATCTCAGAACTCTGTTGTACGAGAATCACTAAATTTGGTACACAGGGGTTTTATGACATGTGGAATCTGATGGTGCTATACTTTTTGATGGGGAACCCCCTTAAGACAATTTTTCTTGGACCCCCTTGTCTTTGGACCCAAAAAAATTTGGTCGCATATTTAAATTTCTTAAAAATTATTAGTCCGTTAGAAAGCCATTCAATTTAGAATGTCAAAATGTGATCGAATGCATATCGTAATTCGCCATTTTACTCAAAAACATTGCGTTTTACGAAAAAAATATCAAGGGACAAAAAAGTTTCTAAATTCAATGACTTTCTAGCTATTTGATAATTTCTAAGAAAGGAAGCCCACGAAAAAGTATCTTAAGAGGGTTCCCCTATAAAAAAACATAATCATAAAACCACTGTGTACCAAATTTAGTGATTCTCGTACAACAGGGTTCTGAGATATATCTAAAAAAAGACAGAGGGGACTGTAACTCCGAAAGAGGGGGCCACATGGCAAAAAGAAAAAATACGGGTCCCCTAAATTTGTCTTAAGAATCTATGACCAAATTTTGTTGCATTAATTTCGGTACACCCTGTATATTCAACGGGCGTGTAAAGCTCAGGGAACGTAAGATAAACGAGGTAAAAATATGCTTGATTTTTTCCTTATTTTGAATGTATTGTCAGTTGTCTTATACCTTAACTTATATAATTGGTACAGTGAAAAGGTATTGTTTTTAACTTGCTTAGATTTTCTAAAATGCTGGACAAAAAATTGCGCATATAAATGCTCCCCTTAAAATTAAAAGACGCATTGTGAAATTGGAAAGGGGCCTCATTTTCTTTGTGAGAATTCAGTCTG